CACGATAGTTCATTTTTAAAACAACATTCTCCATTTACAAGCAAAATAATTAAACAAATTCATGAGAAAATACATATCAGTAACATTATTTTTTTAAGAATGGGCTAAAGTCCGACAAATTACAATGGAGCTACACGAAATGGACAACGAGACGTTAGACAACCATTTAAGATTGTTTTACGCCGAGGTCAAAAACCAAGATGGGGACGACTACAGCAAGTCGACTCTACTCGGTCTAAGGTATGGTTTGGAAGGATATCTAAACTCTCCAACACACAACAAAGGTATCACAATATCTGGAAACCCAGAATTTAAGAAGTCAAATGTTGTCCTCAACGCCAAACTAAAATCCCTGAAGCAAGGCGGCAAGGAAAATGTAGGCCTACAACACAAACCTCCACTCGAGCCAGAAGATCTCCAAAAGCTAAAAACCAGCGGTGTATTTGATTGTTCAAGTCCCCTTGGGTTTCTGCGAAACGTGTGGTTCAGTACAGTGTTGTTTTGGTGTCGTCGTGGTCGTGAAGGTCAACGAAACCTAACAAGAGAGAGCTTCGTCTTCGGACAAGATCCCACCGGCGAAGAGTACGCGACGATGACACACAGTGAGGCATCCAAAAACCACCCGGGTGGAATAAAGGATAGCGAGAGTTTCCAACATATTGGCCGAATGTACCAGAAAAACGAGGAAAACGACGGATACAGCGCCTTGAAGTTATACATCAGCAAGTTAAATCCGGCGTGTGAAGCATTGTTTCAGTATCCGAAGCGTAATTGGAAACCAGACGATAAAACGTGGTATGAAAATCGCACTCTTGGTATCAACAAACTTGGCGATATGATGAAAGATATCAGTACAGCTGCTGGTTTATCCAAGATCTATACAAACCACTGTGTAAGAGCCACTTCAATCACGCTTTGGTCAAATGCTGGCTCAGGGCCGTAGCAAAGGGGGGTATTGGGGAGGGGGGGGTTAACCCCCCAACTTTTTTAGAATTAACATATTCGGAAAATCAGGTTGGTCATTCGGAAAATTACTGATTTACAAAATCACGGCATTTACATGGATAACATTTAACAAATCGTAGATCGGTAAATGTTTTTCGGTTTATTACTTCCCAGGGCCGTAGCAACGGGGGGAGGGGGGGGGGG